GGAGCACCGCGTCCGCGGGGCTGCAGCCCCGGTGTGGGAAGGCGCCGTGCCGCGTGCCAATCTCTCTGCTCTTGTTCGGGCATCTTGTAGCTCAGACTCTCACCCCACGTGGCGGGTCGGAGTGTCACAACAGAGTGAGAAGGGGGACACAAGGCGGGGAGGCTGCTCTGAGCGATTTTTAACATGGATTTGTAACAATGTTTCTGTTCATAAAATACTAATGATCTGCAATGTATTTTACTGGCCAATTAAAACAGAAGGTTTATTCTTTCTGGGGGCTGGCTTGGTTTTCCGGGGTGCCCACGGGGACTCACACGTGTGGGGTGTGGGAGGAAGGCGGAGGCGGGGGCTGGACGCATCATCTCTGGCTACCGGCGGTGTCGTCTAACGAAAGGTGACGTTGCCCTGACAGACGGCGTTACCCTGATGACCTGTGACTTTACTCTGACAGGTGACACCGCTCAGGTGACAGGTGACATCAGTCTGACAGGCGACGTCTCTCTGATGACAGTGGCATTGCCCTGACAGGTCATGCCGCTCTGTGACAGCTGATTGCGTTGACAGGTGCCACTCCGATGTCCGGTGACATCAGAGCGGTGTCGTCTGTCAGAGCAGCCTCTGTGCAGCGATGGCCAGGAGGACGGACTCCACGGCGGGCTGTGTCTCTGGGAGCACTAGGGATGCGGTGGCTCGGAGGTGGGAGGGGGTGAGCCAGCTCTGAGGGCCCAGGGAGCCGGTGTCCTCCAGGCAGGCGCCGCTGAGCCTCTTGGGGCCGGAGTGGCAGAGCAAGGCTCTGGGCACAGACACGTGGTGGGCCTGGCACATCCGGTGCGTTTCCTGGACTCCTTCTCCTCCCCAGGGCTCACTTGGGTCCACTCCATCAGGCATCAGTAATGAGAAGGGCTGCGCTGGCTTGGGGACACGAGTCAGGCCTGTCTCGGCTGCCCCGGTCAGCCTCCTCCTCCAAAGAGGCCGAGGGACAGGGCAGGAGGGCCTCGGCCCGGCTGCTCGTGGCCCCACCGTGTGCCCGGGCTGGGGCAGCGCTGATGGCGGAGGAGCTCAACTGGTGGTCTGGCTGCCAGCGGAGCCCTGCCCGGGGCCAGGCCGAGGGGGCGTCCAGGCCAGGGCCCCAGGCAGGGCTGGGCGGAGGCTCAGTTCACTCGCAGGCCCGGCCAGCCACCGAGGGGGCGGTGGAGGGGCTGGAAGAGAGACGCCCCCGGCAGGGACGGGGCCAGAACCCAGGGAGGGTCACGCCGGAAGAGCGGGTCCCAGCCCCCAAGTCTCCCTGAGGGTCACGACTGGCTTCTTGGCGGCTGGGGAGTCCACTGAGCCCTTCTGGTTCCAGACTGCCTGGCAGGTACCAGGGAAAGAAAGTGCTCTGCCCTGGCTCCTCCCCCTCCCGGCTTCTCCTCCCCCTCCTGGCTTCTCTCCCCTCGTAGATTCGCCCCCTCCTGGCTTCTCCTCCAAGCCTGGCTTCTTCCATCCTGATTTCTCTCCCCTCTTGGCTTTTCCCATCTCCTGGCTTCTCCCCACACCTAGCTTCTCCTCCCCATCTGACTTCCCTCTCCTGGCTTCTCCAGGTTCTGGCTTCTCCCCTTCCCGGCTCCTCTCTCCTGCTGGCTTCTCCTCCTGGTCCAGTTACTCTCCTCCCCTCGCTCGGCTTCTCCTGGTCCAGGTTTTCTCCCTGCTGGTTTTTCCCCGCCCCACCTCGACCGGCTTCTCTCCCCTCCTAGCTTCTTCCCTCTCCTGGTTTCTCCCTTCTGGCTTCTGTTCCTTCCTAGCTTCTCCCCACTCCTGGCCTCTCCTCCCTCCTGGCTTCTCTCTCCTCCTGACTTCTCCTCTCTCCCAGCTTCTCCCCTCTCCTGGTTTCTCCTCCCTTCTGGCTTCTATCCCTTCCTGGCTTCTCCCCCCTCCTGGCTTCTTCCCCCTCCCGGCTTCTCTTCCCTCCCAGCTTCTTTCCCATCCCGGCTTCTCCCTCCTCCTGGCCTCTCCCCCTCCTTTTTCCTCTCCTCCTGGCTTCTCCCTCCTTCTGACTTCTCCACCTTCCTGGTTTCTCCTCCTCTCAACTTCTCCCACTCCTGGCTCCATCTGTGGGGTCCAGACATCTGAACATCCTAACTGGAGTGTGCACCTTGGGGTGACATCCCAGCTGGCCGGCACACGTCGTAGGGCACATTCCTAGGGCTGGAGCTGGCCCACCCTGCATGGCCACTAGGCTCTGGACTCTGGCATCCCGGGCACTGAGAGGTGGTGAGGAGACCCCTCTGGGAGTGGTCTGGGAGTTTCACTTGCTTCCTCAAGAATGTTGGGGCCCTGTCAGGAAGCTGGTTTCTGGGGAGCACCTGCTCGAGCCACATCCTGGGAAGGGGACACACTCCTCAACACTTCCTGGGAGGGGACATGTCCCCCGCTGTGTCCTGGGAAGGGGCGGCCCAAACCCGACTGCATGTGCAAAGGGCTATTCTGCATGCAGGCCCTAGAGAAGCTACAGTGAGGGAGGCGCCCACCTCCCTTTCTTCCTGGAAGGGGAGCAGCACCCCGCGACAGGGGAGGACTGCCTGCTGTCGTGTCAGGTCGGGAAGGGGTGGTGTGTACACAGACTCGTCCGCCGGGCCGGCCTCTGCCCCACGTGCTGCCCACGCCCCTCTGCACCACGGGAGAGCCGTCGCCTGGCTGGGTCCTCGTCCTCACTCCCCCCTGGCTCCGGTGCCACGCAGAGCTGGGGGCGTGTGCCTTCCTCCGGGTCCTCCAGACACCCGAGGGTGGAGCTCTGCCCACACCGGCGCTCACAGGGGCTGGAAGGGTAGCTCAGGGCTCCTGTGACTCGGCTGACCGTGTCCGTCACACTCAGGTGACCTGACCCAGGGCCCCGAGATGGGCTGCATGCGCAGAGCCTTTAAAGGGTCGTTTGCAGTCACGGGGGTCAGCGCTGTGCAATCCGGCTGGTGTCCTTATAAGAAGAGATTGGGGCACAGACACCTCTGGGGTCGACCGCGTGAGGACACAGAAGATGCCGTCCAAAAGCCCGAGAGCAACCACGGAGGGGGCAGCCCCACCGACCCCTCGATCTCGGACCTCTGGGCTCCAGGATGAAGAGGGACGTCCGGATGGTCAGGCCTGCCGAGCCACAGGGACTGGACACACGAGACTTCCTGAGGGTGCAGCCCCCTCCGCCCGCCACGAAGGCCTGCAGCTGGCCCGTGGCGGGGCGGCCCACCTGGTCCCACGGTGAGGAGAGGCCCTGGGCCACGTGTGGCCCCTGTTGCTGCCGCAAGGCCCCTGCCCATCTCCCTGGGCCTGAGCTGCGTCTCCTCGGCCCCAGAGGGGACAAGACGCCCAAACACAGGAGAAGGTCCAAAGGCGTGAGGGAGAGAAAGCAGAGGGGAGGCCGCGTGTGTGCCGGACGGGCCCCGGTGAGCCTGGCCCACCCCTGGCCCTCATGGGCAGGGAGGCCAGAGAAGGGCCCGGAAGGAAGGAAGGAGGGGAGACTGGCTCGAGCCAGGCCGACCTCCGACCTCTGACCCGCGGTGATGTCACAGGAGCCCCGCGGCAACAGGACCCCAGCCCCCGGCCACTCCCCTGAGGCACCCCTGAGGCGCCCTTGAGCCACCAGAGGCTGTGGCCATGAGCTCCGGCTGAGGCCGCACGGCCGAGCCCCATGGAGAAGGACACCATGAGCGCCCCCCGGAGGCACCGGCCCGGCCCTGGCGCCCTGCCCTTGGGGGTGGGCCCTGGGCACCT